AATTACGTATTTAATCTAATAAGACGATCTAAATTAGGTGTCAACAATATATATATATATATATATATATATATATATTTTAAATATAAATAAGTTATATATAAATATTAGTTTAACATTGTAAATTTTAAGTGTTGTTGATTAAATTAATTTAAAACTTTTAATCTAAATATTTATATTTCTCTGTAGTAAATCTTTTCTAAGATAAGATCTATAGATGTAATTGTATGTAGTAAATGATCCATTATGGGTAAAACAAATACATACAAATATAATCAATATTGTAAATTTTAAATAGTTTTAATTAAAAAAAATTGGTGCGAGGCCAAGAACTCTGAAATAACTCCTAATTTAGTGAGAGTTACTAGAAAATACTCCCTCCGTTCTTTTTTACTTGTCAATTTTTGACTTGACACGCCTATTAAGAAAAATAATAATTGATATAGTGAATTTATCATTTTACCACTTTTAATTGATAGAATCTTAAACATATTTACTCAGTAAATTTTTCAAAGATATTAACTCAATGTTATATAAATTGAGGGTATAATATGGAGAAATTTTTATATTTAACTATGAAATTATTAAACTTCATTTGTCACATGTAGTCATAAACAAGCGTAGCCAAAGACTATTAAATTTAGCTATGAAATTTTTTTCGTCACAAATAGTTAAATTATTTATCTACAAATTTTAAGTCGTCGTTATTTAAACATTGCATATTTAATGACAAAACTATGTTGTCACTACATCACACATTGATTAGAGACAATAAAATTACAATAAAATTATCATCACTGATTGCTTATAGTATTAGTGACAAAAACTAAGGTCACAATTAAATATAAAATTTTGTGGCTAAAGCTTACAATATTTAATGACGAACTCTAATTTATCGCTATTTCAACAAAAAAAATTGTGACAAAGCCTTTTTGTGTCCAAAATTGTAACCAATTTTAAGACAAATAATAGTTTGTCACAAATTAGATACATTATTAGTGACAAAATAATTTGTCACTAATAAATTAAAATTTGTCGCTAATGGTACTTAATAAATTGCGCCAAATTATATTTTGGTGGGAAACTCAACTGGACGAAATTTTGCTACAAAATTTTATGTTTCGTCATTAAAAGTGTGTGGTTCATACATTTTAATACGAAATGTAATTTTTGTCACAAAAAGTAAATAATTAGTGACGAATTATGTGTCGTACCTAATAATTTCGTAGCTAAATATCATGTTTGTTGAAGTGTTAATTATTGATACAATTGTTGTGGAAGGGATATTTCCCACATGATTTTCTTATGTATGAATGTGAAAGGCTTTCTCACATTTAATGATTCTAGGTTTAAAGGATTGCTCACCTAAAGTGAATCTAAGTTTAGGAATTATAAGAATGATGATGCTAGAGGCGATTACCCTTGACCCCATGAGAAGAATATGAGGCGATTACCCATATTCCTTAGAGTCTGACTAGAGGCGAATACCCATGATCCTAAGTAAAAGACAAGAGGCGAGTACCCATGCCAAATGATAGAAAGACAAAGAGGCGAATACCCATGTCACATAATATAGGGACTAGAGGCAACTGCCCATGATCCAATAGCAAGATAGACAAGAGGCGACTACCAACAATCCTATAGTAAGAAGGAAAAGAGGCTACTACCCATGATCCCAAGGTAAGAAGGGCTAGAGGCGATTACCCATGTTCCCTTATAGTAAGGCAAGAGACGATTACCCAAGTCTTTAAAAGATAAGCTAGGATATGTTATGATAGGTGACGAGCTTGAATTGTTGCTTGAGTTTGCTTTCTATGATGAGTAAGACTAGTGGCGGATTACCCATGTCTTGACTAAGTATGAATTGAGGTTACATCCACTACATAAAAAATGATCATTAGCGGCTATTAAGAATTAATTGCCGCTAAATATATATTTTTAGTGGCAATTAGCACTCTTTGTATATGCCCCTAAAGCCTTTAGCAACATTGATTCTAATGGCACTTAACTAATGCTGATAAAGACTTTTGCACTCTTTATTAATGTCAATATTTATTGCCGCTAAAAGTTTTTTTTGTTGTAGTGTTCAAGAAGTACTCCTTATATGTGAAATGATCTATTATGTGCATTGATTATGCTTTATGACTTATGTTGTCTAACTCTTATGTTATGTTTATGTAAGCTATCATATTTAGTACATTTTTGTACTAACGCATACTCTTGCCTACATTTCTCATCCAAACGTAGGATCCGGCGTTACCGATTCTCATCCCCGTCGCTAGGATCTATTCTAGAAGAAGAAGTTGAAGATTGGTGAATCCTCATCCCTCCGAGGATATGGCCACTACTTTCCTTATGTTCTTTTCATTTTGAGTTTTGAACATTTATGTATGGGCCAAGATTCTATTGTATTAGATGGTTTTTGAGACAAGTGTATTAGGCTTCCGCTTCGTTTTATGAACTTTTGTTATGTTGAAAATGTTTTAAATCTGACCGATTTCTATTATCTTGACTAGGGGTGTTCACGGGTTGGTTTGGATCGGTTATTGGTCAAAACCAAAACCAAACCAACTTAATCGGTTTTAAAATTATCAAAACCAAACCGAACCAAATATAATATACATTTATCGATTTGGTGATTATCGGTTTCGGTTTGAATTTGGTTCGGTTATTCGATTATTAACCATACACAAAAATAAAAGAAACAATTCATTTAAAATGTGAAAAAAGTGACAACAATCCATTCAAAACGAAAAATAGTTAGAATGACTTAAATTACTAAACTTTTAATCACTAAATTTACTATCAATAAAGCTTTAAAATTCACTATATTGGCCTAGAAGGAAGAGACAATAACATTTTCAGTCCCACAAAGAATTG